AACCATGGCAATGAGACAACATACGATAGAATGAATGTAAAACTAATGTTCTCCCATGTAAACTATCACATAATTCACAATAAAACACTAAAAAAAAAAAAAAAGAAGAAGAAAGGCATAGCAGTCTGATTCTTATGGAGCGCAATTCAACTCTGTACACGTGGGGTTGTGATGAGTCAGAATCTACTGTGTGACAGTGAGTTAGGTTTGGTTTTGGTGGGGAGCTAGGTGCCACCCTATACTCACGAGCACAGGTTTCCCTCACGTAAGACCACACCTGGTAACCTGTACCTCAGTGGATAGTGGTTGAGGGTGTGCCCCTTCCCTGCACCTTTGGGTCCTGCTTGAATTGTATCTAAGGCCTTTCCATCTGTTGGGGTCGTTCACAGATCACTGATGCCAACAGTGTGGCAACAGGCAGGTGTGAGGGCTGTCCAATCCAAAGGATAAGGGGGTCCTTCCCATGGGCCCCAGTCCTAACTCCTCTCACACATGTTGGCATCAAAGACATATCTCCCTACTGAAAACAAAAAAAGAGAGAAAGTGATATTCTTTGCTGTTATCACATGGTGCTTCCTTTGTGGGCACTGTGGGCTTTCTTTATTCCCTCTTGTGCCTGGAGTCTTAGAGGATGAACATTAGTCCTTGGTGGAGATGCTGTAGGCTGACTGATGTTACCTTCCTCTCTCCCCCCTCCACCAGTGGACAGCAAGTGCCTGATCTCAGGGATGGAGTGCGGCTCCTCTGGAACCTGCGTCAGCCCCTTGAACTGGTGTGATGGCGTCTCTCACTGTCCCCAAGGGGAGGACGAGAACCGCTGTGGTGAGTGGCCAGGACCACCTTCTACCCGAGTCATCAAGGCAGCAGCAGGGAGCAAATCAACACTAGGTGCCAGACCTGGGTCCAGCACATCCCAGCGTTAAGTCACATCATCCTTGAAGCTAAGCCTTGAGTCCAGTCCCCAAGTCACAGAAGGGGACTTCCCTAAGGTGGGAAGGAGACCATAGGACCAACCTGAACTATGTGGCTCGAATATGTGTGCTTTGAATTGCCACAGGATGTTGTAGCTTGGTGATTAAAACAGACATACGCTTTAGCATTCCAAGTTGAGAACACACTGCTTTTAAAAATAAACAAGCTGCCTTTAACAGATAGGGGACTTCTGTTTTCTGACTATTAGTTTTTCAAGGGCAGGAAAGTGGCAGTTCCACTCTGCCAGGAGTTGGAATTGACTTAGCAACTAACAACATCAACATAGCAGCAGTGATGGAGGCATAAGGTTGAGGATGAGTGGAGTCATTCCATGTGAGCTGATGTCTGCTAACACAGCCTGGCACTGCCTGAGTCAGTAACCACACACTGCTGTCTCCTGGGTGTTTGTTCTCGCTTCTGTGGGGTGGGTGGAGGTAAGTGCTGAAGGAAGACGTCACCTCCTGTCACGGGAGGGAACTGTTTCTGACAGTTGGTGTGGAGTTGGCCTATTTCTTTTAAAAGACTGTCTAAATTCCCTCCTTCCCTAGCACTTAATACTACATTACTTTCCTAGGGCTATCATGAAATTTCTGAAATTTATTATGGAATAGTTGTGGAAGACAGAAGTCCCAAATCAGGTTTCCTATAGACCTGCTTTCTTCTGGAGGCTCAGAGGGAGACACCACTCCATGCCTCTCTACTAGCTTCTGATGGCAGCCTGCAATCTATGGCATTCCCGGGCTGGTAGATGCTTCACTCCAGTCTCTATCTCTGTCCTTACATGGCGTTCTCACCTGTGGTGTGTCTCGGTGTCTCTTCCTTCATGCAAAAGGCGGCTTCCCAAAGTTCATAGAAAATTTGAATTAAAAGATAATAAGAAGTTTGCCAAGAACTTTTGGAAGACTTTAGGATTAAGTAAGATCCCCCCTAATTCTGGTATGTCCTTATAACAGTTTAATGGATGACATTTTCAAAACAAAAACTGTATCCTCAATTCAATCCTCACTCTTAGTGACACTATAAGATAGAGTAGTTTGTCCCATAGGGTCTCCAGGTAATATACATCTTCATTGATGTCAACTAACCACATCTTTGTCCCCCAGAGCAACTGATGGCTTCAAATCACTGACATTTTAGTAAGCAGCTGAGCACTTAACTATGTGCCACCAGTGCTTGTCCTGAACTGTTGACCTCTTCAAAGATCGTATTTCCACAAAAAGGAAAGTTCCTAGGTCTGGGAATTAGGGTTTTAGCACTTCTTTATGGGGACACAACTCAGTCCATAATGACACATGGTGTGCTATACGATAAGTAGTCAACTGCAAGGCCAGCAGTTCAAGCTCATCAGCCACTCCTTGGAAACCCTATACAGGGTCGCTATAGGTTAGAACTGGCTCGACAGCACTTAACAACAACATTGTTCTTTTTAAGGAGCCCTGGTGGCTCTGGATGATAAACACTGGACTACTAAGCATAAGCTTGGTTCAAACCCACCAGCTACACCTTGGGAGAAAGATGAGGTTTTTCTGCTCCTGTAAAGATTTACAGCCTCAGAAACCCTAGACAGAGTCACTATGGTCAGAGTGGATTCAGTGGCAGTGATGGTGGATTGTTCAAACAGATCCATCACACTTACTCCTAATCCTTTAGGATTTTTTTGTCAAAGCCTCAAATGGGCTCTGGAGCTGGCTGAGAATGTTGGGAATTCCAGTGCTCTTTCCTTCAAGTAATCCTTCCTTTCTTGTGGGGTGCTCCCTAGGAAGGATGGTTATGGAGTCCTGGTGCGGCACTGCGGGATAAAGCATTAGACCACAATGTCAATTTGTACCACAAGGTCATCGCTTCAAACTCACCAGCCGCTCCTCGGAAAATCTTTACAAGGTCTCTATGAGTGGGAACAGACTCGTTGGCACTTAACAACAACAACTCTCACTTCCAGAGTTATAACATATGTATGAGGGATGCCACTGGTCCTGACTGGGAGGATTTCTTAGTGAAGCAGTGAAGCTCTTGGCTTCTCTGTGCCAGCCAAGCCTTGACCTGCTGCCAGCCCTACAGCATAGCCTTGATGCTTCCCAGGAGAACACGGGCATTTGAAAACAACACATCCACTGTTTAAACATTGCACCTTTCTTTATTTTAGCGATAATGTAGTTATCACCATTTTCTTCAATAACTAGGGAGTTTTTCAGGTTGAGTAGAGTGTGGTTAAGATACCGTCTGAACTGGCTTTTAATAGTCTCCTGCATGCACGCATGTGTGCGTCCATGCTTGTGTTTCTGTAAGCTCCAGCAAGGGGTTTCCTTCTGTTACCTGAAGAGTCTTGCTTTTTAATATTTAAACTGTGTTTCTTTAAACACATTAGAAGATAATACATTCAGGTGGATTAAAATGCAGGAAGTATGAAGGCAGAGGGTGGGAAGAATGGTAAAGAGGTATCTAGTGAAAAGTCCTCTTCACCTCCTTGGCACACATGCGTGCACATACACATACGAGGGGATTTCAAATTTTTGTGGGCAAATTCCATTATCTTTTCATTTCATTTTCCATCAACTTTTAGACTCCTGGTGTGGTGCTGTAGGATCAGCACTGGACTGGGAACTCAAGGTCTGTGGTTCAAACCTATCAGCTGCTTCTTGGAAACCCTATACAGTTTTGCTATGAATCGGGACTGACTCCACAGCACTTGCCAACAACATATATGTGTTGTTGTGTACTGTTGATTTGGTTCTAACTCATAGCAACTCTGTGTAGGATTTCCAAGAGCCACTGCACTGGTGGGTTTGAACTACCCATATTACAGTTAGCAGTCCAGTGCTTAGCCTACCACACCACACCAGGGCTCATGCTGTTAAGTGCCATCATGTTGATTCTGACTCATAGTAACCCTTTAAGGGGGTCCATATGTATGCATATCTCCATCTGTCTTATCTATTTATCCATTTATATGTTATATTCTCCTATACAATGAAAAGTTTTCAGAATTCTGGGTAGTTGTTACCTCTAGGATAGAGAAGGGGATGGAATAGGGGAAGGGTCTTGAGCCATATTTATTATGTTTTATTTCTTTAAGCAAAAGCCCTGAGGTAATTTTGACAAACTGTTGGCTGATTTAGAGGCAAAACCTTTACAAAAGGAGATTCTAACAGGTCTCCAGGAGTCCTGATGTGGTACTGTGGGTTAATGCGCCAGACTGTAAGGTCAGTTTGAACCATAACATTGGTGGTTCAAGCTCATCAGCCACTCCTCGGAAACCCTATACAGGGACGCTATGTGTCAGAACTGACTCGACAGCACTTAACCAGATCTCCTAGTATTCAGCCAGAGTCTAGGATTTGATTAAGAGATCAACCTGTTGATCAAACTGATTGTTCAGAGGCTTTCTCTATATTATATAAAGACCTTTCTCCTATTAATGTTCATTAAAGAGTTTTGTTGTTGTTGTTTCTGAGACATAGCGACCCTGTGGCTGGTGAGTGTGAACCGCTGTTCTTGTGATACAAACCCACCTTGTGGTCCGGTGTTTATCCTATAGCGCCACACCAGGATTCCATTAAAGAACTTTATTGAGATATAATTCACCAATCTAAAGGGTACAAAAGGAGCTCTGGTAGCGTAGTGGTTACAAGTCGGGTTGCTAACCGCAAGGTCGGCCGTTTGAAACTACCAGCTGTTCTGCGGGAGAAAGATGAGGCTTTCTGTTCCCGTAAAGATTTATAGCCTCGGAAATCCTGTACAGGGTCACTATGAGTCGGAACCGACTCCACGGCACATAACAACAACAACAAAGGGTACAGTTCAATGGTGTTGACTGTATTTACAGAGTTATGCAAGGTTGCCATCTATGGATTGGAACCAACTCAACTGTACTTTCAACAACAACAATCACCAAGGCCAATTTTAGAACAGTTTCAGCACCCCTAAAGTATACGTTGCATCCGTTAGTGGTAATTGTCTTATCACCCCTCTCCATAAACACACATTGTGCCCTAAGCAGACACTAAGTTACTTCCTGTCTATAGATTTGCTTTTTTTCTGGACATTTTATATGGATAGAATCGTATCGCTTATAGTCTTTTGTGTGACTGACTGGCTTCTTGCATTCATCGTGATGTCTTCCAGTATGACCACTATCTTAGCACGTAGCAAAGCATCGCTCCTTTTGGTGGCTGAATAATGAATGTTCCATTCAGCTATATACCACAGTTTACATATCCATCAGCTTCTGGACCCTATAATTGTAGCTTGGCAATTCTCAATAGTGCTGCTGTGAAAACTGGTGTATACGTTTTTGAATTCTTGTTTTCATTTCCTTTGGGTTTTGTTGTTAGGTGCCATCAAGTCGGTTCCAACTCATAGCGACCCTATACACAACAGAACAAAACACTGCCTGGTCCTCTGCCAATCTTTCCTATGCTTGAGCCCATTGCTGCTGCCACTGTGCCAATCCATCTTGTCCTTCTCCAGGGATTGATCGTGATAATGTGTCGGGAGTATGAGAGATAACATTTTGCCATCCTCACTTCCAAGAAACATTCTAGCTTCCTGAGAGAAGAGCAAGCCTAAGGCTGCTGCCTTTGTGTTTCAAGGGAGGGCTGGCTCGGCAGTAATTAAGTCAGGACCAGGGATTTGTGTAGAGTGGTGTGGTGTTGTGTTGTGTAATGCTTTGGTGTGTGGTGTGGTGTGGTGTGGTATAGCGTTGAAATGTATTGTGCTGTCTGCCCTTCACATACTCACAGAGACTCTCCTTCACCCGCAGTGCGCCTCTACGGACCCAACTTCATCCTGCAGGTGTACTCGGCCCAGAGGAAGTCTTGGTACCCTGTGTGCAGGGATGACTGGAACGAGAACTACGGGCGGGCAGCCTGCAGAGATATGGGCTATAAGTGAGTGTGTTGTCCAGCAGCCTAGAGCAGGAACTGTCTTAGTGACAATGACAGGAAGTAGGAGCACAAGAAAAGTTCATTTTCTCTCCGCTGTTCTATGGAAGTACTGATACACAGTACAGAGGCAGCAGCGGATCCATTCAGCCAGCAGACAGAACCTAGCCTGCTGACAGCTGTGTCCTGCACTGCCCACTCACCAGTGCTGGCTTTTCCCCCACCTCACACCCCTCATCCCTCTCATACTATCATCTCAGTGTACCTCCATGATAATGTTTTTGTTTTCCAAAATATTAAGGTTTCTTTTTTTGAACATTGTATTATGATGTAACACAGGGTTTGTGATTGCTTCAGACTTAACTGTTAATTTGAATTCCATAGTCTGTCTTGGACGCTTCTTTTTTTAGGCACACTTATTATTCCAGCAAAGGCGTAGTGGACAACAGTGGTGCCGTGAGCTATATGAAGCTGAACGCCAGTGCCGGGAACGTCGATCTGTACAAGAAACTGTTCCACAGGTATCGGAGATTTTGTTCTTCTTAGTAAAGTTGTGCCACAGAATGACCAGCTAGATTTGTTAGATTTCTCTAAACTAAAATCCAGCTCCTGGATGCTTTTCTCATGAAAAGGAGGTTAAGCTCTCAGCAAGACTAGTAGTAGTACCTTTGATCAGCCCTGCGTGTATTCTAAGGAAGTTGTTAAGTGCCTTCGAGTCGGTTCCGACCCATAGTACAGGGTTTCTGAGGATGTAAATCCTTACGGGAGTAGAAAGCCTCATCTTTCTTCCGCGGAGCGGCTGGTAGTTTCGAACCACTGACCTTAAGGTTCGCAGCCCGATTCGTAACCACTACGCTACCAGAGCTCCTTATTCTAAGGAAGTAGCTAAGGTTAACTTTCTATTTACTCTGTATCCCAGCCCTCCTCCCTTACAACTGTGTGTATTCTCCCCCACCTCCCAATATTTCTGAGTGTAGTGGTTATGAGTCGGGCTGCTAACCACAAGGTCAGCGGTTCAAAGCTACCAGCTATTACATAAAAGAAAGATGAGGCTTTCTGCTCCTGTAAAGATTTATAGCCTCGGAAACCCTATGCAGGGTCACTATGAGTCAGAACCAACTCCATGGCACATAACCAACACATCTGCTTTGTCAGGTGTGATGTGAGGCATACCAGAGAGTAACGTGGAGTCCCAACTAGGGTGGCTAATGCATGTTACCAGGGCCTGGATTTGCTCAGTTTTAGCTTTGAGAGTCCTGTTTTCCAAGACCCTCAGTCCCCCAGTCCCAACCCATGAACCACCTTGTCAGGTGATAGTACCCGAGGCATGAGCCATGTTTGGGAGGGGCTGGGTGAGAAAGGCCAGTCCAGTTTAGTTGAGATTTCCTGTAGATACCATCTTTATGGGGTTTTTTTTGTTTGTTTGTTATGCCATCCTTGTGTTTTGAAGGTGTGTTCCATGTGGCCACATCAGAAATACTGTAAACAGACAGTCTGCTGGCCACAGTGGGTGAGTGGTGATCTCCCTGAAGGTGGACTCAGCCACTTGCAGCTTCCAGCCTTTGCATCTGCCACACTTTGGGCAAACTCTGGACAGGTCACCAGATGTCTGAGTTTGGGAATGATTGCAAACAATAAGTCTTCTGCTTGATGGCTTAATTCTTGGGCAAGTAGAAGAAGGAGATGGACTCAAGCTACTAATTTTGTTTTGTTATTAAGTGCCATTGAGTCAATTCCGACTCATAGCAACCCGGTATAGGTTTTCCGAGGAGTAGCTGCCAACCTTGCAGTTCAAACGGCTTTACAGTCTGGTGCATTAACCCACAGCGCCACACCAGGACTCCAGGCTTTGTGAGAGCAGAAAGCCTCATCTTTCTCCCATGGAGTTGCTGGCAGTTTTGAACCACGGACCTTTTGGTTCACAGTCCAGTGTTTATCATATGGAGCTATCGCACTCCCAAAAAATATGAAATGCTTCACGAATTTATGTGTCATTCTTGCACAAATTTTGGTTTGGCATATGGTTAAAATTTTGTTTGGCATATAGTCAAGATACTGATATCCTTCTTAGAATTATTATCTGAGTATGTCCCCCCATTTTAATACACTTTTTTCATGTTTAGAGCAGTTTTAAGTGTAGAGAAGTATGAAGGGGTTTCAAAACGTTCATGGAAAAATTCCATTATCTTTTCATTCCATTTGTCCATGAAGCCTCCCTCCTATTTATTACACAGAAAGTACAGTGAGCGCCCATGTATTGCCTCTCCCCACGGTACACTGTTTCTTCTGTTGTTATCATTCCCAGGTACATTTGTTACCTGGAATAAACCAATACTGATACATGATTAGTAACTAAGAAGGAGCCCTGGTAGCATTGTGGGCTAAGCATTGCACTGCTAACCGAATGGTCGGTGGTTCAAACCCACCAGCCACTTCATGGGAGAAACATGAGGCTATCTGCTCCTATAAAGAATTAGCCTTGAAAACCCTAAGGAACAGTTCTATCCTGCCCTATATAAGAGTCTCTATGAGTCAGGTTTGCACTTTTGTTTTTCTTTGGGGGGAGTAGCAGGGGGGGCATTAGATAGTTCACATCTGGTTTCACTTTATATGTTGTATAGCCCTATGATTTGTAACCAAATAGCATCGTGTCATGTGCCCACAGTCTTCATGGATGATAGATAGATTTCATTGCCTTCAATATCTAAGTGTTGTGTTGGGTTTTTTAAAGTTTTTATTGTGGATTGAGTGAAAGTTTACAGGGCAGATCATCAGTTTTACATTCAATAAGTCATACACCTTGTTTCATTGCAATGTTCCCAGTGTGTTTTAATGTACATGATACATATTGTCCTTCCTTGCACATCAGCCTTAACCACCCCAAGGTCTTGTGACTCTACCCCAGGTGACTGCTCATCCCCACACTGCCAGCAGGTGCCAGGTGTTAGATTTTGGGAAGGATGAACTAACCACAGGCCCCTTCTTTCTGTGAGTGGAAGGTGGAAACAGGGTACATTCCTGGTGGTGTCTAGAGGGTTGGGTCCACCCAGGTCTGGCTGTTCCTGGGAAAGTCACAAACTGAACCCAGGAGGAAGGGGTGCATGCAGCCAGGTGTGCCCATCAAAACCACAGAACTGTGGTTTGCCCATTGAAGAAGCAAAATACAGCTGCCATCACTCTTCGTAAATACTGAATGTTGCTTTGTCTTCACTGGTTACACATGAAATCTCAGCCAAGAAAAATGGAGCTGATCTGGGGAGGGGGAGAATGGGTCTGAACCTTCTGGCACAGAGCTTGGGAACTCCTAAGGTGGCTGATGGTGTAGAGTGAAAGAGACGACCATTGTGTGGCAGGCTGGAGTCCATATGTGTAGCAGGGGGTGTGGGAATACTATTTTTCCCTCTTTTCATTCAGAAATTGCCCTTTGATGCTTGAGTCTCTGGGCTTACACCTAGCCAGACTTGTCTGAAACCACTGCTACCGGTTGTGACACTTGAAATTCTCAAGTGAATTTCTAGGTAGAGTTCAGTAGGCCTCACATGTTCATGTGTGTCTCTGCCCTCCAGCCTGAGACCATCAGGGACCACCCCTATAGTTGAACAAAAGTTGTGTTATAGATGTGGCAATTAGGACAACACACAGCTTGGGGACATCTTCCTAGGAAGGAATTAGGACACTTCAGAGTAGGGAATGGCTTAATGGCAACACTCTAGGTTTAGGTATTAGGGATTTGTTATAGGATTGGGGCTTGTGGTAGATGATTTGGGAGCTGTCCAAGGAGTAGGACTTTGCTGTGGATTAGATACTGTCAGGAAGAGAGGATACACTATGTGACTGGGTAAGTTCATCTTTCTATAAACAATGGAAAGAATGAAAGAGGTAAAGCAGGCATTGGTGTAAAGAGCAGCACTCACCCTTCTTGGCCAGCAGAGGGAGCTGTATGGTCATGTCTGTCATTTGAGCAATGCCCCTGTTTTGTCCATCTTCAGGCATGATACTGGAATGAGCTTGTTTTCATCTGGATCTTTTAGGTCAAAGAGTGGCTTTGAGTGAAGTTGACCATGTTCAATGTCAGGGCCTGACTGTGAGGGTTACCAGGGGCTGCCTCACTCTTTCTTGGGATATTGGGAAATTTTGCTTAATAATTCATTAATTCTTTGCATCAGTAACCTATCATGTTCAGATCCCAAAGAAGACACGTATTGGGCAAATGACTGGTTACATTGTATTTTGTTGTTGCTTTGGTTGGTTGTTCTAATGAGTGTGTGCCTCCCTGGCCTTTCTATATCATTTGACTCAAAGTTGAACCAAAGGTGGGGGGTGGGGGGGAGTTCCATTCCAGGCTGGGCAGGTGTCTAAACACCATAGTCACAGAGGTCCCAGGACTCTCTACTTAAATAGTAAGCCTGGTCTTTTTTTTGTTAAATGATTTTGTGCTTTGTTCCATCCACATTTTCCTCCCACTCTAAAATCTTCTATTCATAATCTCTTTCAGATCAAGTCAGCAGTGGTTTCTGGGTACTATCTAGTTCTTCTGGTATCAGGTTCATGGAGGCTGGATTCACCTGGTCCATTAGTCCTCTGTGGACTGATTGTTTCTTTGTGTCTTTGATTTTCTTCACTCTTTCTTTGCTCTGGACGAGAAGAGACCAATAGTCACATTTTACAAGACGGTTTCCAAGCTTTTAAGACCGCAGTCGCTACTCACCAAAATAGGATGTAGAACATTGTCTTATTGGACTATGTAATGCCAATTGACCCTGGTGTCCCCTGAGACTATGATCCTGAGCCCCCAGGCCCAGCAGCTTATTTATTCCCTTAGAGTGTTTGTTTACTGCTAAGAAGTTTTCATACTTTGCCCCTTGTATGCTCTACTATATTAGTGGGGATGTATGTTTCAGCACATACAAATATAAATACATGTGTAGAAGTATCCTGTGTCATGAGTGTGCAGTTCCATCTGCTGTTCTCCCCCCACCAGGTCAGCTTGAGTGTAGATTCTTGTTACTGTTACTGCAGCATGGTGCCTATAACAGTATTTGCCTTTGTTGCCTTTAACTCTCCTACTCCTTCATCATGTTGTGGTGACCTCCCTTTGTTTTATATTGCCTGTCCCTTCATCCAAGTTTGATAGGTGTCTACTCTCTAGTTAGTGATGCACCCTCCTTTTTCCTCCAACCCCTGGTAACCTTCAAAGAATAATGGTTTCTGTGTATAAATCTTTTTCTTGACTTCTTAGTCCTTTTTTTATTGACTAATTTCACTCGGCATAGTATCCTCTAGGTCTATCCATGTTGTGAGATTCTTTGCAGATTCATTGTTTTTCTTTAGTGTTGTCTAGTATTCCATTGTGTATACGCACTGTTGTTGTTGCTGTTACGTGCCTTCAAGTCGATTCTGAACCATAGCAACCCTGTATAGGATTTCCAAGGAGCAGCTCATGAGCTTGAACCACTGATCTTTGCAGTTCAAATGACTTTGCAGTCTGACGCATTAACCCACAGTGCCACACCAGTAAATGCACTGTAGTTCACTAATTCATCCGTTGGTCAAGCACTTAGGTTAGCATCTTTTTGCTATTGTGCACAGCAATTAACTTTTTGCTTTTTTAATTGTGGTAAAAATATATATGACAGAACGTGCGATCTCACCATTTTTGACATGTGTAACTCAGTGACATTTATTACATTCATCCTGTTGTACAACCGTCATAACCATCTGTTTCCAAATGGATCCACCACTCTCAACGGAAACTTAGCGCTCTCTAAGTAATGATGCCTCTGCCCCCTGTCCCTACCCCTGCTACACACCAGTAAACTTTGAGCTCTATAAACTTGCCTCTTCTGGATCTTTTATATAAGTGGGGTTATATGATCACTATCCTTTTGTGACTGATTTCTTTCATGGAACATAATTGTTCCAAGTTCCAAACATGCTGGTTGTACTGTTTTTAATACTATAAAGAAATGTAGAGAGAGTCTTGGAAACCTGGAAGTTTCCAGAACGACTTCCATAGGAAGTAAGAGGATGGTTTTAAATATCAAAAATAAAAGTAGTAACTAACAGAGAATGAAACATCCAGCTGACATGAAGTGAGGGGAGACCAATCAAAGAACAATCAAAGTTGCAGACAGTACCCATTTGACTTAGCCTCAATGGCTTGATGATCAGAACTCAACTAGAGGGAAATTAAAAAAAAAACAACACACACACACAAAAAGACAATTTTTGACAAAGGAAACCAGGAAAAATTGCTACAATTTTTCTCATGGAGAAAAGGACCTATACTCATGGAGGTCGTAGATCAAAATACCAACAGAGAAGGGAAGGAGTTGTCACATCAAATATCAATGCTATCCCCTCTGTACACAGGGTAGATAAGGATGGGCAACTTAGCCATTGGTTACCTAAAATGAGGGGGCAATAGAGGCATGAAGTGACTTACAGGCTTACAAGGTTTCAAGAGAGAGTTTAGTTTAAGAGTATGGGGGAGAAGATAGAGTCCCCACTGAATAGTTTTCATCTTATCTAGATGGGTCTGGTTAAAAATAATAGTAATAATAGTAATAGCTAACAATAGTGAGTGCTTACTTTTACAACCACTCTATGAGTTGGTATTATTTCTACCCCATTTTACAGAAAGATAAACTGAAGCACAGGAGATAAGTAACTTCAGGCTGCTAACCTCAAGGTCGGCAGTTCAAAACTACCAGCTGTTCCTTGGGACAGCTTTCTGCTCCCGTAAAGATTTGCAGCCTTGGAAACCCTGTGCAGGATCACTATGAGTTGGAACCGGTTCCGTGGTTCTTAACAACAACAACAACAACAAGGTCACCAGGATGGGGTTTGAACCTGATGACTTAACTCAGTTTTGTTTTTTCTTTTCCTTCACCACTATGTCTTATAGATTGATTTACTTTCTTGATTCTTATATAATGGGGCCTTCTATTTCTGGGGTGTGGCGATGTAGGATCAGCACTGGACTGCTAATCCTGAGGTTAGTGGTTCAATCCTACCAGCTGCTCCTCAGGATCACAGGCATCCTTATTTGTTATTAAGAGCCATTGAGTCAGTTCTGACTCATAGTGACCCTTAAAAGACTTCTAAGGAGCAGCTGGTGGGTTTGAACTGCCAACCTTATGTTAACAATCCAGTGCTTATCCTACAGCACCACACCAGGACTCTCTCATTTAGTATGATGGTGGTGTTGTGCCGTGGAGTCAGTTCTGATTCATAATGATCCTGCATAGGGTTTCTAAGGCTGTAAAATCTTTACAGGAGCAGAAAGTCTCATCTTTCTCTTGCCGAATGGCTGGTAGTTTTGAACTGCTGACCTTCTGATTAGCAGCCCAACTCATAACCACTACAACACCAGAGCTTCTTCTCATTTAATATGGTGGTGATGTGCAGTGGAGTCGGTTCCAACTTATTAGTGACCCTGTACAGGGTTTCTGAGGCTGTAAATCTTTACAGGAGCAGAAAATCTCATCTTTCTCCCATGGAACAGCTGGTAGTTTTGAACTGCTCACCTTGTGATTAGCAGCCCAACTTGTAACCACTATGCTACCAGAGCTCCTTCTCATTTGGTGTGGTGGTAGTAGTTATGGTGCTTATGTGTCATCGAGTTGGTTCTGACTCATAGCAACCCTGTATTTCTCCTGCAGAGTGACCACAATTCTCCTTCTTTTTTTCAGTGATGTCTGTTCTTCAAAAACAGTGGTTTCTTTACGTTGTATAGGTAAGTACTTCTTGACTTTCCTTTTCTAAATGTCCACATAGGAAAAGTTAATCCTGTGTCTTTGGGGATGCAGAGAGAGGAGGAGAGCTGTGGGGAGGAGGTGGGCTAATGGGCTGGGCTGGACCCACAGAACACACTCAGTTCTACCCAACAAGCTCCTTTTTGAATCCTGATGTGGATCAGACACCTTCAACCTTAGGTCCAGAAGCATCCCTTGAGGATAAGCAAACTAGAGATACTGACAAGTCCTAATTCTTTGACACATACATACACCACCACCCCCACACTCACACTCAAAGAGCTGGGGGGCCATGTGCACTCCTTATCCAGGAAGTGAGAAAGAAGGACAGATAGCGGGGATGCTGGGAGCTGCAGTATGTGTGCTTGAAGCATTTGCAAAACCATTCCAGTCAGCACGATATGATTATCTGGCACTCACCAGTCACCAGGACTTAGGAGGACAAGGTGTGAGCCAGGAGCCTGGGGATTCTCTTGCTCCTGCTCCCGAGAACTTTTGACAGTGGCTGGGACCTGGGATCTCTTTGTTCTGGTTGTTTGTCATAGCCTCTGTCCGTCTGTCTCTCCCTGTATCTCACTGAATGACAGAAGTCAATAGCTGCCCTCATCATCTGCCCTCCAGTCTATGAGATGCTTTGAAAGGGGTTGTTGGGGGACACAAGGCAGCTCCGATGTGTGCTTACCAGCTCCTGGGTGCATATTGTGCTTGTTGCTTTAGATTGTGGGGTCACCGCCAAGATGACCCGCCAGAGCCGGATCGTAGGGGGTGACAGCGCCGCCCTGGGCGATTGGCCCTGGCAGGTCAGCCTGCACGTCCAAGGTGTCCACGTCTGTGGAGGTTCCATTATCACCCCCGAGTGGATTGTGACAGCTGCCCACTGCGTGGAAGAGTAAGTCCCCATCCACGTCACCGGGAGGGTGGGCAGTGAGTGGGTGGGGAGAGCAGGGATTCTGGGGTCCAACTCCTGGCTTGGAACATGGCTCTGCTACCACATGATGTTGAGCACACGCTTTGCCATTTGGCAGTGCCAGTTCTCTTGTCTGTAAGTGGGGGCCAGGGGGAGGGCGTGAGGGCACCTGCCTGTTAGTGTGGCTGTGAGGTTGAATGTGGTACACCTTTCAGCACGTGGGCATCGTGTACCTCCTGTGTGCATGTTCTGGGCACTGGGAGTGCCTGGTGAGATGAATGTAGTTGAATTCTGCTGTCTTCTCATCTCACAGAAGCTACCAACCTCTTGAGAAGGCTGATCTCTCTAGGACACTTGTCCCCAGAGGGTGAACACTGGCACAGCCCAAAAGTCACATCCTGATGGAAGTTTCTGTGGTTGCCAGTTAAGAGCCTTTGGCCACAGGAGTAGGGAGGGGTGAAGGTTGCCATGATTTATAGTGCTAACCTTCATTGAAGACCTGTTGCCGTGGGTGGGTACCCCATGGACAACAGAACGCTGCCTGGTTCTGTACCATTTCCATGATTCATCTGCAAATTCTGTTGAAACCTGTTCAACATCAGAGTAACACACATGCCTTTACTGACAGGTGGTAGTTGGTAGTTAGTTACACATGAGGCGTACTAGATGAGCATCAAACCCTGGTGTCTGCACACCGCCTCCCCAAGGGCTGATGAACAGCTCGAAAGAGGAAGCAATCCCTTTATTTTCACCTGGTTCTGATGGCTTTCTAGGATTTGAAATTCCTTGTTAAAAGAGAAAGGTGTCCCTGAGTGGCACAAACTATTCGGCCTAGACTGCTAACCAAAAGGCTGGCATTGTGAACTTACCCAGGGATACCACAGAAGAAAGGCCTCAGATCTGCTTCCCTCTATTCTGTAACACACAGGGTCACCAGGAATTGGAATTGACTTAACAGGAATGGGTTTGGCTTAGTTTCGTGTGAAAGGGAATCATCTAGATAAAAGTAGTATCTTGCTTGATAAGCTTACACTTTAGAGTCTGTTTATCAGTGCATACATATAAAACAACCATTGTGTGCCAGGTGGTGCTCTGGTATGTAAAGGTAAGGCCCAGTCCTGGCAAAGGAAGCTAAGGGAGAGATTTTAAGCACTAGAAATGTTCTTGAAATTGTAAAGCATTTGCAGGGTGGTACAGAGAGGAACGCACTATCAGTGGGGACCAACTTGATGGCACTTAACAAGAACAGCAATGAAGGAGACACAGGTACTACTCAGACAATGCATCTCACACGCAGCCAACAAGATAGTCAGTGGGAACATGAGTGGTGCTTTGATGCTGAACAGATCTCGGCAGAGCTTCCAGATTAAGAGGGACTGAGAAGAAAGAACTGGTGATCTGCTTCTGATAATCAGTCAGTGAAAACCCTATGGGCCAATCCCCAACAGATTAGGGAGTTGGTGCAGGACCAGGCAGCCTTTCAGTGCATTGTGCCAACTCAAGGGTCGCTAACAACAGCTATGGATTCTGATAATTCCTCAAACAACTGTTTCACGTTTATAAATTCTGAGATACCAAGTGTTGTCCATCTTTCTTTTCCAGACCTCTTTCCAATCCAAGGTATTGGACAGCCTTTGCAGGGATTCTGAGGCAGTCTTTCATGCTCTATGGCTATGGAAAACGGATACAGAAAGTTATTTCTCATCCAAATTATGATTCTAAGACCAAGAACAATGACGTTGCTCTTATGAAGTTGCAGACCCCACTGACGTTCAACGGTATAGCTCTTTGTTTCTTTGACCCAAGGAGTGTGAACAATCATGTTGTCCAGATTATAAGAAACTGTTGCCAGGAAGGTGTGTTGTTGGAGAGAGGGGATATGTGTTGAGTACGGAGAAGGCAGAGCAGGTTTTTCTGTACTGGATAGGGTGATTTTTATTTCTCAAAGTCAGTTGTTATTAAGTGCCGTCGAGTTGATTCTGACCTAGCACGACCCTGTATAGGGTTTCCAAGGAGCAGCTGATGAGCTTGAACTGCTGACCTTGCAGTTCAAATGACTTTGCAGTCTGATGCATTAGCCCACAGCGCCACACCAGGACTCCCTCAAAGCCAGTAGTTGCATATAAAACTGTAACACTTGATATTTTGTGTTGGATAATTCTTTGTTGAGGGGCCTGCCTTCTGCATTGTGGGACACTAAGCAGTACACCCATCCTTTATCTGTGAGATCAGAAACAACTGCCAAGTTTTGACAACAGAATTGTCTCCTGACATCGCCTCATCTCTAACTTCATTTATAAAGATACTTTTCCTTGTCACATACGGTTACTCTTAAAGTAAGAGACTTTAAAATGACAATATTTTTAAACAATGCAAACAAATGTATTTTCCCTTATCTTCTTGTTTCTTATTTGGCTCCCGTTCTAGCCCCTCCAGGGGTCTAGAATGTTGTAGCCCCACATGGGTATGGAAGAAGTACAATCTAGCCCCTCTCCACAAGCTGCTTGCATTCAAATTAGGAAGTGATTTATGCATAGAAAAAGCAATCAGTAGGCTGTCAAAGGAATTAATTTCTCCGTTTACCCAGTTTTGGATGACTTTCTAGAATTTGGGTCTCCCTGTTAAAAGGGGAAAACCTAAATAAAGGTAATACCGATTGATAAACATACACCTTAGAGACTATTGGTTTGATCTGCCATGGAGTTGACCCCTGATTTATGGTGCACACGGAGCAGAACAAAGCACTGTCTGCTTCTGCACCATCCCCACGGTCAGTTATAAATCAGACCAGTGTAATCTATAAAGTTGTCACTGGCTGATATTTGGAAATAGATCACCAGGCCTTTCTTCCTAGTCTGTTTTAGTCTGGTTGTTGTTGTTGTTAAGTGCCATCAAGTCGATTCCGACCCATAGTGACCCTGTACAGGGTTTCCGAGGAGCAGCTGGTGAGCTTGAACCACCAACCTTGCAGTTCAAACGGCTTTAGTCTGGTAGCACCTCCGAAACCTGCTCAGTATCATTTTGTTGTTGTTAGGTGCCGCTGAATTGCTACCGACTCATAGTGACCTTAAGCACAACAGAACGATGCGTTGCCCAGTCCTGCACCAACCCCATAATCATTGCTACACTTGAGCCCATTGCTGCTGCCACTGTGCCAATCCATCTCATTGAGGATTTTCGTCTTTATCACTGATACTCCACTTTACCAAGCAGTTCAGTGTCATAGCAGTACCATAAGCTTCCACTCTATGAGAAGAATTGTCACAGTGGCTGTAACAATAGGCTGAAACCTAGCAATGACTGTGAGGATGGTTCAGCACTCGGCGTCATTGCCTTCTGTTGTATGTACATAGGTAGGGCCACTATGAGTTGGAACTGACGCAACAAGCTTCTACTGACAGATTGGTGACTGCCCTTGAGGTGCACTGTTAGACTCCAACCCAGGTCTCCTGCAAGGAGGGCAAGAATTCTACCATTGAACCATCACCGCCCCCTAGATCCTATTTATAAAACAGTCAGATAAACCAGTTTCAGGAAGTGGGTTCAGACTCATGATGAACCCCACCCTTGTGAGTTCATAGAGTTTGTTGTTTGGGGCTGTCTAGGCAATTCTGACTCAACGTTGTTGATACCAACAAACATTCCAATTTGTACTCATCATGAGAGTGAGGTTTTCTTTATTTGATTTTGCAAAATTGGTCGCCCAACCCAGTAGACATGAGCAGACATGCCACATGGCTGGCCCGCAAACAGTTTTATTCCCCTGTTGGAAAAAGCCTCTCCTCCAAGTCCCCTTTTCCTGAGTGTTAAGGAGTCCTGGTGTGGTGCTGTGAGTTAATGCGCCAGGCTGCACAGCTGTTTGTACTGCAAAGTCGGTGGTTCAAGCTCACCAGGTGCTCCTCGGAAACTCTATACAGGGTCACTATGGGTCGGAATGACTCAATGTCACTTAACAACAACAACAACATGGAGTTTATAAGTCCTTATTGGGAGCATTCTCATTTAAAGTTTGTTTCCTCCTCTCCCCATGAACTTTCCCTATTTCCTTGATGGGTATATTATTTTAAAGTTCCTAGTCTTGATCACATCTCAATGTAAAGGAAACAAAAATCCTCACCACTGGACCAATAAATAGCATTCCTATCAATGGAGAAAAGATTGAAGTTGTCAAGGTCTTCATTCTTCTTGGATCAACTATCAACACTCACGGAAGCAGCAGTCAAGAAATCAAAAGATGTATTACATTAGGCAAATCTGCTGCACAAAACCGTTTTAAAGTGTTGAAGAGCAAAGATGTCAGCTTGAAGACTGAGGTGTATCTGAGCCAAGCCATGGTATTTTCAATCACCTCATATACATGTGAAAGCTGGACAGTGAATAAGGGAGACCGTAGAATTGATGCCTTTGAGTTATGGTGTTGGAGGAGAATATTGAAAGTGCCATGGGCTGCCAAAAGAACCAATAGATCCATTTCGGAAGAAGTGCAGCCAGAGTGCTCCAGAGGCCAAGATGACCAAACTTTGTCTCTCATACTTTGGACATATTGTCAGGAGGGAACAGTCGCTGGAGAAGGATATCATGTTTGGTAAGGTGGAGGGTCAGAGAAAGGGAGGAAGACCCCCAACAAGATGGATTGACCAAGTGGCAGCATTGATGGACTCAAGAGTGACAACAGTAGTGAGGTTGGCCCAGGATCGGGCAGTGTTTTGTTCTGCTGTGCATAAGGTCGCTGTGAGTCGGTACCAACTCAATGGCACCTAACAACAACAACAGTCCTAGAACAGATTTCTTTCCTCCCTTTCCCCACTCATCCTGCCTGCATATCCTTGGGTGTAAATCAGCAACTTATCTGGTCTAGCAATCTTGTGCGCCCTTTATTACTGAAGATGGACCATCTTGAGAATTTCTCACATAATGATGCCATGTGTCAGAATAGAATTATCCAATAAGGCTCTCCTAACTGCATTCTGTCTTTGTATGAGAGCTGACTGCTAGGTCTTTCTCCCATGGAACCACTTGGGAGGATTCAAACCACCCTCTTTTTGATTAGCAGTGGAGCACTTATCGTCGCCAGCCTCCCTAGAGGTTATTGTTGTTGTCGTTGTTGCTAAGTGTTACAGAGTTGGTTCTGACCCACAGCAACGCTGTGTAGGGTTTCCAAGGAGCAGCTGATGGGGTTGAACCCCCTTTGCAGTTATCAGTCTAGTGCTTATCTTACAGCCACACCAGGACGCCACTGGTGTTGTTAAGTGCCTTTGAGTCAATTCTGACTCATAGCGACCCTGTATAAGATTTCCAAGGAGTGGTTAGTGGGTTTGGACTACCAAGCTTGTGGTTAGCCATTCAATGCTGAGCCTACATTGCATATTGTTGTTAAGTGCCGTTGAGTCAGTTCCAACCCAGAGCAACCCTGTATAAGGTTTCCAAGGAGCAGCAGGTGAGCTTGAACCACTGACCTTGCAATTCAAATGAACCTTGCAGGCCAGCACATTAACCCACAATGCCTCATTAGTATGTGCTTTTAAGCACCTATTGTGCCCACTTTTTGTCCATTGCCACATGTGTACCTTTTTTAGCAAATAATTCTGTTTCTAACTAGCATAAGTTGCTGAGAATTATGCCTGTTAGAACAGGGGGCCTGGCAGGAAAAGAAAGTAGGAGTACCAGGTCACATTGGCATGCAGCAGTTTCTTTGGGATGGATGATGGTGGTACCCTATCAGCAGCATTAATATAGAAATCCATCCCCTGAGGCTTCCGTTAAACCAGACTAGCTCACAGCATTGTCTCTTCTTGAAACAGACAGAATAAGGCCCGTGTGTCTGCCCAACCCAGACCTGATGCTGAAGCCAACACAGACCTGCTGGATTTCTGGGTGGGGTGCCACCTATGAGAAAGGTAAGACTCCAAGCACGTAGGTGCCTGGTCACTGGGAAGGTAGCATCAGGTTTGGAAGTAGGCTGTCTGTGCTTTAACTCTGAAGTGGCTGGGTGACTTTGGGCAAGTCACTCAATCAGTCTCTGTGCCTGGAAAAGACTGCCCCTACCCCACATAGCACCAGGTGTTCCTGGTAAGATCAAACAGGACAGTGTGAGACAAGTAACTGGTTTAGGAAGTGTAAAAATGGCACTTGCTGACAACTTGGTTCTGATTCATGGAGACCCCACGTGTGTCAGTATAGGCTTTTCAATGGAAGTAGATCACCAAGCTTTTCTTCTGAGGTGCCTCTGGGAAGGCTTGAACCTCCCACCTATTGGTTGGCAGTATGCATTAACCACCCAGGGACTCCACTTGACATGTAAAGGCCATATAAATGTAAGATATGTAAAATCCTACACCCCTGCCTGCCCCCATATCTGAAACCCATTGTTAATAAAGGGCTGCCCAGGAAGTCTCCACCTGCCCCTGATAATGGTCTTGGTAAGAATGGTGGGTCAACCACAGAACATCAAAGTCATGCTCTTCTACCCAGAGCACAGAAAACAGACTGCATTGTAGTTCCAAGGACTGTTTACAGAGCAAATTCATTTTCCATTCAGCAATTTATAAACCTCTTGTTTTGTTGTTATAGCAGTTTTAGATTCGAGAGTGTCACAGCAACTCTTGATCCGTCGTCAAAGAAACTAAGGCCACTCAGAGAGGTGAAGCAGAGTTTCAGACTTTAGTAAGCAGGCTGGCTCAGAGGAGCTAATTTCTGCAGATTCTGAGCGCCGAATATAGGGCAGTGCAGACTTATATAGGGTCAGAATCAGGGAGGGTTTAGGTTGCGGACCTGATTGAAGGCAAGAGGGAGCTTAGAGGATTGGTTCCGCTTAGTAACCTGATTAACATTCTAGTTTGTCTCCTGGGCGGAGAGGGCAGTGAATGTTTCTACCTTTTCCTGTTCACTGTGACATTGATTGCAGTCCCTTCCACGTGACAACACTTTTCCCACTTCCTCCTTGGGCTCCCTGTTTTCATTCCATTCATCCTGCTTACTTTGGGATAGTCAAGGGAAGCATGTCAGAAGACGTAACATCTGAGCTGAGATCTGGATGACAAGAATGTTTAAAGAACAAAAAAAACTAGTGTGGCTGGGAACAGGGGCAAAGAGGTAGGCTTGGGCCAAGTCATGGCTGGTGATGTGGTGTGGATGGGATGTTGCTCATTGGGAGCATTAGAGGAATGTTCACGACCCAGTGCTACTGAAATAGAACCTCCACAAACAGGTGGCTATAATAAGCAGAAATTTATTTTCACAGTTCTGGAAGCTAAAAGCCTAGAAATGGGCTCTGGAGCTTTTCCTTTTCTGGAGTGGGGGGTTAGGGAGGCTCAGTGGAGAATACCTTTGTCAACTGCTTCCCTTCTGTTCTTGGCATTTCCTAATGATCTCCACATGAAGCAGCTCCTCCAAATCCCCTTGTTTTGTTGCCCCTCAGCTCTTTGAAATCTCAAAAGCAATTGGCTTAACTCACAGCCTACAATGATGGCCTCATGAACACAACAAAGAAACTTTATTTCTAAATGGGTTACAACTGCTTCACCTCTCCTAGTGACCTCAGTTTCTTCAATGACAGATCAAGCAGGAAGTTCTCTTGCCTGAAAAGTCTTTGAAACAAACAGACAAACAAAACTGAACTATTTCAAACAAACAAACAAAAACCAATTGGCTTTGTTTCCACTCTGACTCATGTGGACCCCCCATGTGTCCTTGAGACATGCTCCACAGAGTTCGCAATGGCTGTGAAGAGTAGATTGATTTCAGTAGTCTGTGGTGGTGACTATCAGGAGAGAGATCTGCTTTTCTTGTGGGAGCATGTACAGGACCATGTGCCCTCTGTCCTCAGGGAAAACTTCTGAAGTGCTGAATGTAGCACAGGTACAGCTCATCAAGCCTGGGATCTGTAGCAGCAAATATATCTACGGCAACTTCATCACTCCCGCCATGATCTGCGCAGGGTATCTGCAAGGAAGCATCGATTCTTGTCAGGCAAGTATGTTTCTTTATTCGGCCTCAGCAGTTACAGTTGACATGGTGTTAATTCCAACTACAGTGACTCTGGGTATGTCAGAGTGGAACTATACTTACAGAGATCCACCAGGCTTTTCTTCTGAGGGATATCTGGATGGACTCAAACTGCCCACTTTTCCACTAACAGCTGAGCATGTTAACTGTTGGATCTTCCAGGGACTCCTAGCTAACCTTAGAATATACCTTTTGGGCATGTCCAACTCCTGACTGAGCTGGTGCAGTGAACAAAGACCCCAGAAGGCAGGATGGGCATGGATATGGCTCAGGCCTTGGGGAACCTTGATGACTGCTCAGCATTCTGAGAAATGTCAATACTGCCTCAGTTCCTCTTGGTTATGAGGTCACTGATGAGTTATCCCAAGTGCTTACCACAAACGCTCAAGAAATCCAATCTGTACTCATTTTAGCAAGAATGAGGTTTTCTTCATTCGATTTTACAAAATCAGGCACCCGACCCAGTAGACACAGGCAGATATTCTGGGTGGCCTGGCCAGCTCACAAAGAGTTTTATTCATGTTTACCCTCCCCCAGTTAGCATGCCTTTCACAGTCTGTCTCTGTTGGTGCCCATGGTCTTAATGACTGTATTCTTATTTAAAGTTCCTAGTCCTAGAACAGATTTCTTTCCCCCACAACCCCAACTCATCCTACTCACATACCCCTGGGCTAGACCTATGTCTGGTCTAGCAATCTCATGTGCCCTTTATTCCTGAAGATGGACCATCTTGAGAATGTCTCACAGCAGGAACACACTGGGTGGCAGGAGCAAACACTACCAACAAAAAGTCACATGCCATTGCTTCCTCTGAAGACACTTTTATTTGACAAATGTGTCATCTGAACAAAAAAAGTATTCTGACTGTTGTAAAATACGAACAACGATTTCTTCATGGCCTTTTAGCAGAGGTAGATTGAAATTGATCTCTGGTATATACTACCTCGTAAATTCTAAATATTTCCTATTTTTTTATATTATTACCTTTTTTCTTTTTTTAATGTTTTATTGGGAATTATGTGATAGTTTACATGGGAAGACAGTAGTTTTACATTTATCCTATTGTTTATTGTTTCATTGCCATGGTTACAATCCCCTCCAAGCATCATCAGCCAACCAAACCTGCCTCCCAGGTCATCAGCAAACAGCCCCTCTCCCTCTCTGTGTCTAAAGTTCCCAGCTGCTCCATCTCTCCACGTCATCATCTCTGCCTCCATCTCAGGCATCACTGCTTCTCTGGGTAAGGTCCTGCTCTCCGCTTTTCTGCCTTGATGGTCCCAGGGACCTCCGCTCCTAGATTGAAAAGTTAATCACTCCCCTCCTTGCTACAAAATGTCTACCTATACATTTCCAACCCTCACAATCAGTCCTGATAACAATTATTCACTATTGTATCAAAAGAGACCTATCCACATTTCATCTCATCAGCCCTGCCTAGACAGATTGGATACTACTCAGTGGAGATTCTACCTTCCTCTATGCCCTCTGGATCTAGGTTCCCTCTTGAAAGCTTGTAAGCCAGTCCACTTTTTGCCTTTGTAGGCCCCCCATTTTGGGTAGCCAATGTCCAAGTTGCCCATCCCAATCTATTCTGCATATGGAGGGGGTGGGAATGAACCTTGCTGTAAAGATTTGTTCCCTCTTCTGAGCTACTGCATCCATAGGTGTAGGTCAAGTTCATCAAATTGTATTAGATTACTCTTTTTTTCCCTCTTCTTCTTCTAGTTGAGCTGTGATCATCAGTCATTGAAGCCAGGTCACGTGGGTATTATCTGCAAGTGTGGGTGTTCTTGTGCATATGCCCTCTCTTTTTATCAGCTGGATGCTTTACTCTCCACTCTAGTCCTCTGTGGCTATGTCATTGACTCTAGGCCCAAGAGTCCCCAGGTCTTGCCACACTGCTGGCCAACCAGGTCTCCACCCGGGTTCACAAGAGTCTATTGAACATTGCAGGGCTTAGACTGCAGCTTCATTGCTGTTTTCCTCTCACTTCCCTTTATTGGAGAGGAGCATGGTCATCAATCAGAGTGTGTATTCCCATTGAGTCTTAGTCTTGGAAGGGGGTTTGCACTGAGAGGACCTGGCCACATGCCTTGATTTCTCCTGGGTAAGCAACTTGCTTGTTCTTGTAGTAACCGTTGGTCTGCCTATATTGTTTTGGATTTTTCCTGTAGGTCTTTCTTTCAAGAAGTATCTTCTGTTCTTCTAGCCACTCCAGGCTGGTCTGCTCATCCTTTCAAGTGGAAATTTCTCATCTCTGAAGATTCTGGATGTGGTTCAGGCTTCCACCTATAGGCTTATGTATTGCAGAGGCTCCGCAGGAAGCTTCCTTCACTGGGCATGTTGTAGCCCCGCCTTAGGTATTCCAGTTATAGGCAGAAGATGGACTTACAAGCTTTCTATGGTGATATTTCTGGCTATTCCTTTCTCTCCCC